GCAGGGCCGTATCTCCCCCTCAGACTGGGGATCCCCAAGGGCAGGGCTGTGTCTCCCCCTCAGACTGGGGATCCCCAAGGGCAGGGCCGTATCTCCCCATGCAAAAACACTTTCCCCACCAACTAGCCTGCGCTGCACCCAGCACAGCCTCCCCTGCTCCATGGGTAATGGTCAGTGCTGGGTCTAGACTGGGCCTTCTGCTGCCCAAGAATCATTCCCTAGAGTTCTGCTTGTAGGCTGGACAGAAGAAGGGGCTAGAGTGGAGGCCACAGGGCACCTCTGAGGGAAACAGGGCATCCTCTGTAGGGATCTCTATGCGGTTGCATCTGGAGGCAGGGAAATGAACAGGATGACCGTTTTATTGGCTCTGGGTCAATAAAACCTTTTATACATCCTCAGTGTTTAGTACAGGATGACACGGAGATGGGGCCGTTGCTTTTGTTTGGTTCTGTTGATCTGCCAGTTAGGCTGTTGATAAAGTCAGAAGAAAAAAGTGAAGGAAGGAGGGAGGGTGAAAGAGAGGGAGGGAGGGAGGGGAGAGAGGGAAGGAAGGAAAGAAAAAGAGAGGGGAGAGAGAAAACTTACAACCTTTTCCCTTTTTAAGTCTCCTGTATGGGAATGTATTTGTTTAAACTCCTCTTATCTTCAACACTTGTTTCTCGGCTGGTGGAGGGGTCTGTGGAGCGAGGCTGGTTTTTCTCCTGGTGACAACAGAACTGCAGGCTCCATAAACGGCCCACTGGTGCCTGGGCGGAGGAGGAAGACAGGTTTGAGCTGAAGGCCCCCCACTGCCTCCCCCTGCGCTTTCCCCGTCCTCACCCAGCCCCAGCGCCCTGGGACCCAGGGCAGGGGACATGGCTGTCCAGCCACTGCGGGGGGGCTCCAGCCAGCTCAGTCACCCTCCAGCCTCCCTCCTCCCCACTGCCTCCCTCAAGCCTGGCTGGGCCCCTCTCCTTGAGAGCCTCCCTTGCCACCAGCCCAGCCAGAGGCTTCAAGGCCTTCCCTTAGGCTCCCCTCCCCACCTCTGTGGGACCCTTGCTGCTGGCGCTGCCTCTTCCAGGAAGTATCTCTTGATGCCACACTCTCCCTGGTTCGTTCATTCCTGTGTTCATCCTTTCAACACACGTTTTGGAGTCTCTGAGATGTGCCAGGCATAGGAGATAAAGGGCCTGAGGAGCTCAGAACCCAGTAGAGGAAACCAAAT